TCTGAACCAGTGATGGGCTTCAAATTTTTTTACTACCGGTTCTGTGGGCGTGGCTTGGTGGGTGTGGCGTAGCATGGCTTGGTATTCAGCAGGGGAAGGAAACTTTAAAATCTCCATTGTCTCTCCACTCCAGGGGAAGGTTACTGCAAAAACTCCATTCCCTCCCGATCAGCTGGGACTCGGGAGGCATAGAATAGATGAGGGCGGGGCCAGTCAGAGGTATTTACCAGTTCTCCGAACTACTCAAAATTTCCGCTACCAGTTTAACAGAACTGGTCAGAACCTGCTGAATACCACCTCTGACCTGCACACTTCCAGATATCCAGACAGAGAGACAGACAGAATAGGGAGTGTGAGGGCATAGAATTCCAATCCTCAGTGTTACAATTCTTCTTTGTTGTTGACTCTTTAGAATGAAACATCTGAATTGTAATTTATTTGCAAATATATTTCTTACCAGGGAAATCTAGCATTAGCAGACTGATTTGGGTAAAAGGTCTTTCTTTAAGTTTGTTCCAAAAATCTAATTTTCCATCACCAAGAGAATCTGGTGAGATTCTGTGCTGCTTCTGTCTCCTACTTTTGAGTAACTAAATCTAGGATTTAGATTTTAACCTGCTTCCCTTACTGAGAGACACCCACTTCTACCAAGTTTAAACTATGAACACTTCTGCTTTTCAAATGTAGCTCTCATCCTAAATTGGGATGAAAAAGATTCTTTACCAGAATTTTACTATTTTTAGACAGAGGGGAAGCAACTGGAATATCTGGGCTTGGCTGTTGCCTAAAGTCCAGTTTAGTAGCTGTCAAAAATATATTGGGGGGAAAGATTGTGATTCTAGGAGATGTAATTCAGAGTGTACTTGATTAAAAAGTCTGTCATAAAATTGACCACGTTTGTTGGTTAAAGAAACAAAGTTAAAATCCTTGATAATTGGTTAGGATAAGGAAGAATTAACGGCTTACCATGATGCATAAAACCATTGTTACAGAGCCCGACTCCCAGTGCCACAGCATCCTCTCTGGTCTGGCAGTCACCCTAGTAACAAAAGAAGATAAATGTTATATCCTGGGCAAATCGTAAATCAAACAATCCTACCACAACCAGATCCCAGTTCCCAAATGAACAGAACAGTCTTTAGAAAGAGACAGTAGAAGTAATTAAAGCAGGACTCCCTTTACTTAAATCCCATTCACTCCTAAATATAGTACCTTTTGTCTTCCTTAAGCTTTGGGAGGACAAAGACCAGAATCTCATAAAGGAGCTGTTTTTAACAGTACACAGTTGCAGCCAGTTGTCTCTATGAAGAAGCTTTCTTTTACTAGCCATATAATCAAAGCCATCTATAGCTGGCTTTGATTTACCATAAAATATCAGAATAAGAGGCAGCAGAACCTACTGAAGGATAATGACCCCTTATTTAGAGTTCTCAAAGATCAGTTTTAATAGGGAATAAATACAATAAAATATGAAATATCGTGCCTGTGTGCCCCATGAGAAACAGCTGCTTAAAATAATTACATATAGTCATATGACTACATTGTGTTCAGGCTAATAGTTCTAGGAATGATGTAATAGGTGTTTTTGGCTGACAAAAGAAAGCGGAAGAAAAAAAGAAAGAAACACATTTATTTTGGTGCCAGATTCCCATTTTATCTGCTCAACCACTTGTGTGGGTGGCCACTTGGAATGGAACTATATAGGCTTAGTTCCATATGGCAAGCAGTTCACGAGAGTTGGGCAATTTTAAGTTTATTAGTGTAGTTTCCCTTCTTTACCAAAAGATCACTCCCACTGGAATACATTTCCCCTCTGTTCCACTTGAACTTGAAGATACTTTTTCATTCCTCAATCATACCAGAAACAATGCTCATGGATACTGCAGTTCTTGGCCCACTCTAAAATGTATAATTTCTTATTGAAACAGTCAGTAACATAGATATTCAAAGTACTGTATTTTTCCGTGTATAAGGTGATAATTTTTCTTAAAACTATTTACCTAAAAATGGAGGAGGGCCGAGAGAACTACGGTTGCGAAACTGTCGATACAATATCTTTGCAAATAAGCCTCATGAGTGAAACTTCAGATTGCAGAGACAAGCTAACAAATTTTCTCCAATCATGAGCCTTATGTATCTGACATCAGCTGATGCTGTGTAGAGTATGTAGTCCAGGGGTCAGCAACAAGAGGCTCTGGAGCTGCATGTGGCTCTTTCATCCCTATGCTGTGGCTCCCTGTCGCCAGTCAACTCCACAATTGATAGGGCTTTCGGTTAGGACAGGTAGAAGAAAAAGGATGCTGTGCTAGGAGAATCTATGGTGGGGAAGCCGGACTTACGGTCGGCTCCAGAATTGAACTGGGGGCTTCCAGTTAGGACCTTTGTGGCTCTTTTAGTGTTTAAGGTTACCGACCCCTGGTGTAGTCAGTGCCCAGGTGCGACAGGGAGCGATAATGTCAGTTCTGCGTTCTGAGCCCATAAAAATGTCAGAAAACAAAAATAAATAAATATCGGTAACAATAAATGAATGTTTTACTCTGCAAAATAAATGTCTATTATATTGATTTCTGAATTTTGGGTATGAAAAGGGGGGGCATCCTATACATGGGGGCATCTTATAGATGGAAAAATACGGTGTGTTGCCCTTGGCTTGAAGTCCCTTCCTTTCTTGGATTCCTAAGTCAAACTAATCAATGGTTTGGAGAGAAGGCTTAGTTATGAGTTTTGAAAATTTCCTTTCTTTTCATTAGAGAACTTTGTCCAGTAAAGTTATAGAAAGGAACAGAGGAGGGAAATGGATAACTCTGTCTGCTAAGCAAGGGGTTGGAATACATAGCACTTCTGCTCCACTTCCTGGTCTATACATGTACAAATCTCCATTGTTTCCAACTATAAACATACAGGATGAAATTATGGCCAGGAGCTTTCAATAGCAATAGGATAAAGTAGATTCATTTGGCTTAGCAACTCATTCATACCCAGGACAATAAACCAAGCAAAACAGAGACTGAGCCTTGTAAAGACTACTAAACAGACCTTTAGTAATAGTTTTACATATTAGTTTAAGTTTTAAAACTAATACATAATAGTTTTAAGATGACAATATTATGTGCACCAAATGTCTCAATTAGCTGTTATAATTATCAAAACTCTTTCTAGCCTTTTCCTTAAAGAATGGTAAATTAAGTATTTCGTTTTGCTTATCTTTTGTCTCTAAAGTAGTTGCTTTCCCCTGTGCTCTTTGTTTCCCTTTTCATTCTGCACCAGGATGAAAAAGGAAACAAAGCAACTTGATACCTTCCTTCTCTGTATTTATCCCTGGGAGTTGCCTCAAAAATAAGGTACTAATTGAAAATGAATAGCAAAACTTTTCTTGATGAAAGGCAATCTCCAGCACTAGGTATCTTGTAACAGCTATGGATGACAGGGCCAACAGATCAGGGCTGAAAAAATTGGGTATTCACTAGATGACAGCAGAGCTGTCTGTGTCTCTTTGAGGTTGAGAGGTCATCTGGGTTTCTGCAGCTCAAATCTGGTAACTCTAATACAGTGTTCCTCAATTTTGGCAACTTAAAAGTATGTGGACTTCAAGTCCCAGAATTCCCCAACCAGCATGGAATTCGAGGATTTAAAGTTCATATATCTTCATGTTGCAAAAGTTGAGAAACACTTCTCGAGTCTTCGGTACAGTTTCAGAAACCGCTTTAACCTGTGATTGGGTTGCCTAATTTAGACAATATGTATAAAGCAGTTTCAAACTATTTTTAATTTAGATCAACCACACACTTTCAGTGCAGAATAAGCTTTCCCCCCCCTTTTTTAATGGGCAAAGTGTCCAGAGCCAGAAGCGCTGATCAACACTATTTCATAACTTTTTAATTGAAATATTATTTATATGCTGTAACATGCTGCTTTCCAATTTTAACATCCTGCCACATGGCTTCTTTGCTTAGAAAATTATTAAGTGAATTTATAAATGCTACCATTTAATTTTACCCCCAAATGAGTTTTAAAGTGACATCTGTTTGACACTGTTCTTAAACTAGCGTTTGGGAATCTGCTTTGTTTACAAGAAATAGCACATAAAAACAGTGACACAAACATGGCTAATAATGCAACTTAGATTCACATATTATTACGCCTTGCAAACCAGTAACATTCAAGTCAGGAGTTGACTGCATTTGTAACTTCTCAAATACTCTCATTGGAGATAATACAGTAATACAATAGCAGAGTTGGAAGCATCCAACCCCCTGCCCAGGCAGGAAACCCTATACTGTTTCAGACAAATGGCTATCCAACATCTTTAAAACTTCCAGTGTTGGGACATTCACAACTTCTGGAGGCAAGCTGTTCCACTGATTAAGCTGTTCCACAGCTGTTCTAACTGTCAGGAAATTTCTCCTCAATTCTAAGTTGCTTCTCTCCTTGATTAGTTTCCACCCATTGCTTCTTGTTCTACCCTCAGGTGCCTTGTAGAATAGTTTGACTATTCTACAAGGCACCTGACTATATAGTTTGAGATATAATACAAATGGAACAAGAATGGCCATAATAAAGTAGGAAGCCTACTTCTCCTTGTTCGGATAAAGAATTTTGCATTGTTGATATCTAAGCATAAATGGAAGACAAACTAGGCCTACTTCTGGTATCCTAACATAGGATTAAACAGCGACAATTTGTTCCAGACCACAAGAAATTATTCTGCAATACAAAGCTACTTAAATTGTATTTTGATAACTGATCTGACATTTTTCTTTCACAAGAGCAGTTTCTGGATATCAACAGTTGTGTTTGGATTCCTATCTTGCTTGTAAGCTTCTCAAAGGCATCCGGGTAGTCAGTGTCAGCACAAGGTACTGAAGCAGGGGTCACCAACCTTTCGAACTGCTAGGTTGGCAGAAGCTGGGACAAGTCATGGGAGCTCACTCAGTTACACGGCGGTAGAGATTCAAACTGCCAAAATGCTGACCTTTGTGATCGAAAAGTTCAGCATCTTAGCAACTGAGACACCGCGTCCCTTTAAAGAATGTAGTTAGTAGAACATAAAAAGTTAACATCTGGAACATCCTTATTTCATCTCCAGTTTGATAAATTCAATATTTACAATATCAAAGAAGTCCTTCAGGTTGGACTCCAAAGGCTCCAACAGTTTGCGCAGAATAATTTTATGGAATAACATTGCAAAATGTGAGAGAGTTGAGGCTGAACCCCAAAAAGAAGAGAAACATCAATATTTTTATAATCTCATTACCTGAGCAATCAACCAATCCACTAGTTTATTTGCTGGGATCACTGATTTGTATGTCTTCAAGTGATAATCTCTATCTCTATGTCAGAAAAGAAAATTAAAAGATAAATTAAATATTATGGTTGGCCAGACACATTTTTAAAAAGTCAATGTCACATTTTAACTTGGGAGAGAATTGATAGAAAGGAAACCACTTCTCTCTAGATTTTCTGAAGTTTGCAGTTTAAATATTTGGTTGCACACCAAAGGAGAGGGATAGCCTGGAATGACAGGAAGAAGAGCTGCTACCAAGGAAACTGTCAGATAAAAGAGGCTTGAGCCCAAGCCAAGAAAGTAAAATAGTGTCTCAGACAAGCTGCTTGTTAGTTCACACAAAAATAATGGAAGGGAGGAGGGAAGCACATTTAGATATGCAAGATTCTGTTACTATTGCTGTTACCATTAAAGTAGTTCTGACACACAGAACATTGATTTCTGAATCTGATCTACCCTGAAGGGCTGATACAGCCTTTTCAAATCTAGTCTCCTTTACATTATGGGACTGTAATTCCCAGAATTCCATATGACCACAGTGGCTGGCAATTCTTAAAGTGACAACCATAATTCATATGGAAGCTACTAAGTAATAAAATACTACTATATTATCAATACATTTAATTGTGGCAGTTCTTTTAAACTAGACAGGGGGAGTCAAATTTGACCTAAAGCTCCTTTAAGAATGTATCTCTCAAACCTTATCATAATTTCCATCAGTCTTATACATATTATCTCTCATTTTATTACAAAATTCTTTGAAACAGAAATTTTATGTATGTTTGCTATACCTTTATTATGTGTCAGAAGAAAGCTATAAATCTCTTTAGGGAACCAATCATATTGGAATTATCCCCAATCATGTTTTATTTTATATTCCACTCATCTTTCCAAAACTGGCAAACATAATGCATTTGTTTTGGTTGCTAATTGTCAGATCCACTTGTGACAGTCCAATTAAACTGATTTCTTGCTAATTATGCCTATATACAGTAATCAATTAATGGTTAACACCTGCTTGAAGTTATATAAGAATCAAAAGAATTCAAGGGAAGTTGAACTTAGTTTGCTTGTGGCTATATAAGGATTCCAGGCGGATCCCTCTTTTAACTCCATCCTCAGATTTTGCCACTCTTCTCCTACACTAATGCTGCTGAATCTTAGGTCATCAAAATGCCACCATGAATCAGGGTCAGTATCACTTCCTTGATTAATTTACTAATACTTTTTGTTTGCCTTTCAAATTATTTTTTAAACACAAGCTGAAGCACAAATATGGGCAACACACACACATTCATTTACACATTTTAAAGCATCACTCCCCATTTCTTAAGAGTTCTGTTGTCCCCTAGGAAACAATTTTCAATTAAACGGAACTATGCTTCATGAGATGCTTCTATGCAGCAAAATGTACTAACATGACAAGGAATGTTCATTTAAGTTACTGCATTCTAGGAAACTTCAGAATCTAGGGGGTCAGCTTCAGAAACTCCCCTTTCTAAACAGACTTCATTACTTTGTATAACCAGTGGTTTATTCTGATATAGTAGTCTGTTATTTAATAGTAGTGATCATCTGAAAGCTAAAACAGACAATCATTCAACCATATTTCAGTATACCAAAAAATAGCACATTGTGTTAAAACATACAATAATATTTAATTATAAAACATATGATAAAACACTAAGCTAAAATTATTTTCCAGTTCTCTTGCTCGTTGATGTAATTATAAACAGCATATTTGTTCTTCCTCCTAAGAGAATCTTAGGCTACGTTTTTAAGAATGCCTTTAAAGAAATACAGCTAGAGATAAGTTATCTTTAGAAAATTGTACTATAAGAGACAATACAGTAGAACAGGATGTCACACACTCTTGACTAACTGAAACATTAAGAAGGAATACAAGTTATCCCAAACAGACAGCATTTTTTTCTGGTTCAATAACAAAAGGGAGAAAACTCCAAATGATGTGAGGCATAGTACTGTATGAGGATCTTCAAATAATGAACTTACTTTATCACTGGTGTGTACAGACTGTGCAGACGACAATAGAGCCTTACACCCTATAAAGAAAAGCAATTGACAAGGTTGCAGTCTAAAATACAGGTTAAAATAGAATCTAAAACACATACAGAAGAACAGAGGTAAGCCTGAGTAACACTTTGAGGGTTGCTGAGTTACTTATACCATAACAGTTCACTGTCTATTAAAATAAAATAGAAAAACTGAGGTAAAAAATGTTTTACTTATTTCATAATTTCCCCAATATTTCTTGGAACTAAAATATTTTAAAACAACTATTTTGTTCTCACAATTGACACTAAGTTAATTATGTCTGGTCTTCCACTCAACTGTACTTGAATAGACAATGAAATCTATTTGGCTGCAAAACATGCTATTTCTTCATCAATTATAATAATAGTAGTAATCACAAAAAACAAAGTCCTGCAAAGAGAAGTAGAATGACTATGAAAGCAAAGATAGTACTAATATTAATAGGCGTTTTGTACTCAATTCCAAAATATCTGGAACATCACTTGAACATCCTTTGCATTGATAAAGTCGGCATCAGTCAATTGCAAAATACCTTTAATACCATTATCTGTGTTATCACAGGTCATGGGGAAGGATGCAATAGGTGGATAAAAATGCTAAATCCAGTTAAAACATCTGGCTGACTGTGCAATCAACCATATCCCATATTTCTACAGAAAATACATCTTGAAAGTGTTAGTGTGGGAATAAGGAAAATCATTCTTTAAAATATAACAGACAAAGAAAATGTTATCAACAATGTAAAATAAGTTATAGAAAGTTGAAATATCTTATATTATTAAGCTACCACATATTTTTTCCACAGTTTCAGCAGCAAAACCATAAGTACCTTAGACATGATGTCTTCTAATTCACTCCGTGGCTTATATGTCCCATCATCATAACGAAATCTGTACATCACCTGTTCATTTTTGAAGTGGTGCTTATCTGCAACTAACCATCAAAAGTAATAAACAACTTTTATTTTCCATTCTCTAGCATGAAATCCTCCAAACCCATGATTTGTTGAACAAGATTTGGTTACTATAAAATAATACAGAAATTCTCAATTAACAATGGTAAGTGATGCGGTCACAATGTGTGACACTACATAACCACCCTACTTAGCAGTCGCAGTACCTGGAGTCCCTGTTTACAATTGTTAAATGAGGACTGCATGAGAAATTAAGCAAGGATGTCACAGGATTGCAATTTCTAACTTCCTGCCAGTTTCCCCAATGACTTTGCTTGTGGGGCGCTAGCAACAAAGATCACAAATCATGATTATGTAACTATGGGACAATGCAACAGTCAGAAATCAAGGCTAGTTGTCAAGTGCCTAGATCGAAATCATATGACTGGGGGAGGGGGGAACTGTGCTGGCTAGAATTTAAAGGACTGGTTATAACTACCACTCATTCAGTGACATTACAACTTTGGATGCTGAATGAGTGATAATTAAATGAGGACCACCTAGGCACAAAGACAAAAGATTGTATTAAATGGTAGTTCTTTCGTAGCAAAACATACTTCTGCTTGCACAGATCATTTATATCTGTACATGCAAAATTTTCTGTAGCCAAGATAAAAGTGATATTATTAGTAATTTGTATTTAAAATAATAATAAAATTGCTCTTTGTTCATGTATTTAATTTTAATTTACTTTTCTTATTTTTTCTCTCATACTGCATATTACAATTTAGAAACAACACAACATCCAACTGGACACTACATCTTTCTAGATGTAGAAAGTAAGAAGGTTGACTTTGTTGGAAATATGGGGGAATCATTACTTAGGCAAAAAAAGGCTGGAATATTTTTAAAATCCAGATCAAGATAACCTAGGTTACACTGGCAGATGCCTCTCTAATTCACTGAAGTATAAGGAGGAGGAGGAGGAGATACAGCATTGCCAGACCTGCAAGATTCTGTTATAGTTAATCTCAATAAAAGCAGTTTTAGCCTTTATGAGGAGTCGATTTCCTGTTCTGATCTACTTAATGGGCTTGACACTAGATTGCCTTGGGGGATCAGACAGTGTACTTTTGCATTAAGGTAAAGCAATTACTGGATTTAATCCAATAACTAATAGCAGTGAGATCGCAACTTAGTGGTAAAGCATACGGTTTATGTGTGAAAGGATTCAGATCCAAACTCTGCAATTTTCACTTAGAAAACAATCGAGAGGTATAAAGTATGAGGAAGACTTTGCCATGGAAATCTGTAACAGGGGGCAAACAGGGGCAAATGACAATATTCATATGATAATGTAATCATGCAAATACTATGTTATGCTCATAGTGTAATGGCAGTTGTATATATTGAGATTTTGCTTCATTGCTTTTTGCTGCAGAAGACACTGGGTTTTTCGTTGCTGGAAACCCTGGAGAGCTCCGACCAACAATAGTAACCTACACTGACAAATAATAGTTTCCTGCCACATTGCAGTATCTTTCAGATCCTTTAAAATGGCATTGAATTAGCTGGAGAGGTGTCTTTCCATGAAGGGCTGACAGAGATCATCAATCAAATAGTTCTTCATTACTGTGACAATTACATATAATATGAAGATGCGTTGTATCAAAGAAGCAACAACTTTGTTAATATTGTCGTGCCAAGAGTCTGCTGTAACAGAAGGAGATTATTGAGTAGTATATCTTTATGTAATTACATAATTACAGCTATAACAAGTCTTTTTTTCCTAGTACATTGACTAAAAGAATAGCTAGATTCTAATTATTTTTTGTGCTCAATATTTCATCAGAGCATACTTGAAAATTGAGTGCACTGAACACTCAAGAACTGATGCTGTCTATTCCAGGACTAAGCAAATGGATCTTCTCAGGATTTCAGTTTATGAAAGTATCTTCTACTATTGTCTACTAACACTGTTAGAAAAAAAGATTTCTGGTGTACTAATGCAAAGAGATTATCAAAAATGTCAGTCAAATTTAATAGAACTCCCGCATGTAGAAATTTGTTTCAGAGAGTTTGCATAGGATTGTGATGGCGAACCTATGGCACGGATGCCACAGCGGCACACGGAGGCCTCTCTGCCAGCACACGAGCCGCCTCCCCCAGCTGAGCTCCACCATACATGCGCGCAGGCCTCCCGCCAACCAGCTTATTTTCAGGTCTCTGCAGCGCGTGTTGTTTAATCAAAATGCAGTTAAAACATTATACAAGCCATCGAGAAAATAACTATATACATCCAACAGGAACAGGAAATGCCTCACAGGAGCAGACAGAGGTAAATCCTAGAGGGACAAGAAATGCATCACTGAACAATGGA